CACCTAGAATGCGACAGGCAGCTGTAGGTACTGACAACAAATCAACAACAAATCAAGCTAATAAATCCTTATCCTTGTGGAGACAGCAGTAGAACAGACAGGTGAGAAAGAGCGAGCATGACTACACATGGATATGATACAGCGGAATGGCAGACAGTGAGCGAGTGTGTGCGTGTGTTACTTGAATGAAACTGACATGTTCTAAGGTGAAAAACATAAGGAAGAAAAGAAATTACCAATGCACAAAGAATGACCAGGGAAGGTAGAAGGTGGTGAAACTCCAGGACCCGCTGAAGTGAGGGAGGGAGCCAAGAGCATTTCCATGGAAAGCTCCAGGCCAGAAAAGCAGCAGGAGTAAGGGGATCTGAGAGGGCGAAGGGGACAGCGGCAGCAGGCGAGCTCACGGGGGTCGGGGAGAACGGGCTGGCAGACTCATTTCCTTAAGGCCCGTGCATTTGTAAGGGTTCAGCCTTTTACTCTGAATATATCAGAAAACTCCAGGGCTTGAGTACAAGCCATCACAATCTTGGCTATTACACATGCAGCCAAGTCGCTGGGGGCTGTGTTGCCAACATATTCTAGGCAGAATAAGTGAAATCAGTTAGGAAGCTCCTACAATAATTGCACATAATGAACCAGGTAAATAATGACAGCGGGGAGAAGTCATCAACTTCTATATATGAAGGAGACATGACAGGATCTGCTGATGCATCAGACACAAGACGTGACATAGAGCCCATGGCCAGCTTTTATGCTGAGCACCCAGGAAAAGGGAGTTGCTATTTATACAGGAACCAAAGTAATTTTGTCTGACTTTTGTAATTTACTTCAGTACCAAAATTTCCTTGGATGGATGCAAAATAAAATTACAATCCTTTAATCTTTCTATAAATTTAAGTGGTAAGCTTTTCAATGAAATAGAGAAAACTAATTTTTATGTGATCATTTGAAAACTGGATCTTTTTCCTTAATGTCAAACTCTACATAAGCTTTAAAGAAACAAGTATCTTTTAAACATAATTATTAAAAGGGACATGATGGAGTAGTTTATATCAAATTAACCCCACCGTGTGGGCCCACGCAGTAGCCTAGTGGCTAAAGTCCTCACCTTGCACATGCTGAGATCCCATTTGGGCACTGGTTCTAATCCCAGCTGTCCCACTTCCCATTCAGCTCCCTGCTTGTGGCCTGCGAAAGCAGCTGAGGACGGCCCAAAGCCGTGGGGCCCCGCACCCACATGGGAGACCCAGAAGAGGCTCTGGGATCCTGGCTTTGGATCGGCTCAGCTCCAGCCACTGCGGCTGCTTGGGAAGTGAATCATCGAATGGAAGATCTTCCTCTCTGTCTCCTCCTCCTCTCTGTATACCTGACTTTGAAATTAAAAAAGAAAGCAAAGGAAATAGAGAATGTGTATAAAACAACTGCTGGGAGGAATGTGAAAGCAATCCAGACAAGCATATCTAGAGAAGTGAAAATCCTAGTGAGGTGAGGAATATTAAGAACGAACAGAAGTGAGAAGAGAAGGGCATAAACAATCCTTGAAGTACTGAAGGAAAACAATGCTAATCCAGAATTCTATATACAGAGAAAACAGTAAAGGCAAGTTCCTCTTCCTTCCCCTCTCAAACACTTCATCTGTAGAACCCTGTGTGGGGCTGGGAAAAGCCGGCATCTACACCGGTGTGGAAGAAGCTTCTCTGGCCTGTTGGTACTGAGCCTGGTAGAAACCTCCTTCAGCAAGTGACCAAAGTCAGTTAGCATCACTAGTAAAGCCAAATCACATGCAGGTGCCAACCTCCAGGCTGTGATGGGAAGCCACGCAGCACTCTGCCATGGTTCTGACCAAGGTGCAGAGCCTGACACAGGAGGAGCCAGACAAACCCAAACCATATGGACAACCTGCAAAAACACCCCACGGTGTCCTGCTGTCTAAAAATGTTAAAATCATAAGAAAGTCAAGAAAGATTTTTTAAAGTTCTAAATTAAAGGAGATTCAAAATCTATAAATGCAACATATTCTTCTGAACTGGATCCGTGGCTACATAAAGCATTACTGGAATAGAAAGCATTTCTGAGGACTGGCTGGTTAGGGCTGCACTGTGGACACACGGGAGAATGTCACTGTAAGAACCGCACACTCAAGGACTTATGGGTAATAGGGCATTAGAAACTTCTCAAACAGTTCAGGAAAACACATTTATATTTTCAACTTTTCTGTAATTTTGGAACGATTTCAATATTCTAATGCAGGCAAAATGAACATGCATTCAAAGAAAAACAGAATTATTACCAATAAACAACCCGCAAAGAAATCAAAACAGAAGTCATTCCAAGAGATAGAGTGGAATTTAAATAATTTAATAAAATTAGCATTTCAGTGCAGTACCCCTCGTGACTGGCGCTCCAGCTGCTCCACAGCTGCCCCACCCTTCCCTCCCCAGGCAGTGCTTGCCGATCCCGGAACACTGACACACCTACTCCACTGCTTTTGCTCCGTGTGCCATCTCTGTCGCGATCATTGAGTTTTCACCATTTAAAGTAGCCTTGTACAAATCAATAATAAAAGGGAAATTACATCTGTAAAAGGCCAGTTACATTTTTCTAATACAAACATAAAAATACGTAAATATTAAAATGTCTGAGTATCATTTGAAAAGCATCGAGTGCCCACTCTGGACTGCACTGTTTTAAGTCAGTGGCTCTCGGGCTTCGTGTACAAGCCCACTGGAGAGATTTATTTAAAATGGAGATGCCCTGGCCCTCTCCCTAGAGATTCTGATCCAGGCAGACAGAAGGCAGGAATCCTACAGACTGGCACTGGGCCGCACTATATTCTGCTTCCCCTACCTTCTCTCCTGCACTTACTTGTCTTAAAGTCTCTTCCCTTTCCCTGAACCAACAGAAATTAAGCGCACGCTTTAAAGCTCATCTTAAATGTCACCATCACAGTGAGGCTCCTTGGCTTGCCAGGGACACTGCTCTCATTTCCATGCTCTTTCTTCCAGAATCCACTTACTTCTACTTCCGTGTGGATGCTTACCATATTCCAAGTGATGTACGTCTACTTGTCATTTTCCCACTCCGCTAACATAACGTTACTTGAGAGCAGAAGCCTCAAACCTTCTTCAAAAACAGAGACTGTACCTTCATCACTTCATGCTTTGTATATGATAGTTACTCAAGCATCTACTGGACTAAATTCTACTAACCAGTTAACTTAATGACTTTCACTAATATTTTATAAATTACATAGCACAAGGAATTCAAATATCCTTTCCTGGGGTACTACAAATTAAACATAAGACCACTTAGCCTCATTTTTCAAAGTGAAAGAAACAAAAATCTATCCATATAGAAAATGGATTAAGTTGCTTTAATTTTTCAAAAGAAAAAAAATTTAAGTAATAGTACCAAATCCAGTTTTCAAGAAACAAAAATAGCTTAACTTGTAACTATCCAGATAAAAATACATATACTCGCTATTCACTGACAAATCAGTTTCTGTTGTTGCAACAAAAGCTATCAAGAACAATAATATTAAAACAAAGCTAACTGCTACAAAATTCCTAGCATGTTCCAGAAGATATCTCAATAGCCTCTTTTTGCCTTAATAATGCACATCATCACTACTAATTTAATTTTGCAGTATAAGAATCATGATTGCTGTCCCTTTTTCATCAGAAAATATCACTATAAACTCATTTGCAAATCTTGTTTATTTTTAATTTGGAATAATTTGGTTTGTTTCTAGGCCAGGAATAGATTGTTTTAGCATTTTAAATATATTTATTTTAGCCTAGATAATGAATGGAAACAGAAATGAGCCTTTAGTGGCAAATGCTCGTGAGCATCAGTGGGGATCACAACACCACCAAGAGTCTCGCACTGCAGCGTAGGTGGGACCCTACTAAAGACAAAGAACCCTCAGACTAAGACGGACAAATACTACGCTAACTTGGAATAACAGGAGAGGGCAATGAGAAAACACACAATTCGATCTGTTCACTTAACTTTCCATTTTGAGAAGCAAAAAGAAAAGACATAAAATGGAAAATAAGGAAAGATTCTCACATAATCTCACTTTCTCCTCTTACTCATTTTTCTGTCCTATTTCTGTCCAATTTCTTCTTTTACATGTGAGATCAAGTAAACCAAGCCGAGTCTATATACAACTTCATACTTTAACATAATTAACATTGTAAAAATCAAATTTCAACATTTCATATCCATCTAGGTAGTCAGCTGGAAGCAAAGCAGTAATGAACTACTATTTTATAAACTCAAGATTGTCCAAAAATGATTCTAGCATTGGTTTTCTCATGAAATAATAACCTATCACTACTGAGAGTAATAAGGAGACCCGTCCAACTATATGTTTAATTATTGAGTAACTAATCTTTTTATTTTCTAAAATATTAAATATGCACAGATAAAGTTATATAAATATTTTAGCAGTACTGAAGGACCAAAAAAAATGCAGCTAAGGTAATGAAGAAGTTAAATAAACCTACTTCAAAGATCCAATAAGTATCAGATCAGATTAGATAAGCTTATTGGGAAGTAACAATACAGCTCACTTGATAAAGCAGTTCTGAGAAATTCAAAAACTACCATTTATCTTAACAAAAAAATAAAAGAAGCACTTGGACTAACAAGAAATAATGCACAATTTGGCTTGATCAAATACTTCATTAATTTTTTCTGCCCCTAAGGGATTGCCCTTTTAAAATCCTCTTCAGATAGTTTATAACCTAATTGCCAGCACAGGTCCACAGTTTGCAACAGGATTTTTGTTTCAACAGTGCCACCTAGTGGAGCAATCAATATTATCAACTGGTTACTAATGTCATTTGTTTAAAAGGCTGATTTCGCACTCCTTTTGAAACTAAAAGGACAATTTTACAATATTAGAATTCACATATTTTTATCTTCTGAAATCCTGTGTCTAATAAAAACTTAATCATCTGTAAATATTATTGCAATGTCTTAAGTAAAAGTACCTTAGTGATTTCTTCAGAAGCTCTCTCGAAGTCCTGAACATTCCGACAATAAAATCCAATCGTACAGCTTGGATCCATTTTTCGAAACGACATCTTTTTGGGAGAAGGGCAGTGGAATGTCTGTAATTTTAAAGCACTTTAGGATTAATTCACCTTTATTTGATGTTATTATGTATATACAGCATAATTTCTTAAAATGTGCTGCTTTTTCTCAAAACTACCAACATGTTTTCCAACTGCTGCTTTCCCACTTCCTGTCCGCCAAAGCTGTAACACGTGAGAGCCAGCACTTACCAAATCTCCCCCACGTGTGACACTAGTGCCACTCGGTAAGAGAAAGGAAGTGAGTCGAGGCGTCATGCGTTTCTAGTACTTGCAGAAACAGGAAATATGCCTCAGTTAGCAGAAACTTCGCCATTTCTGCAAAGTTGCAGTGAAGCCTGTCATAAATTGTTTTTTTAATAATGCTTATGACACTTTACAAAATAACATAACTATTTAAATATATTCCTGTAAATGTTCTATACTGAAGTCAACTTGAGAGTTTAGCAATCGATAAATTTAATATAACTGCATATTCTACGAATAAGAAACAATAATGATTTTTTTCCTATCCACCCGTGTTGGTGCTTTAATTTCTTGTTTGGTCCCTCTCAATCATGGCGCAGGTTGGAAGCAGCAACAACTGTCCCTTCAGTTTGTTTCTCTCAAGTGGTCCAGGTGCCACAGGTACAAATGGGCTTGGTAGGCTGCCCTGGCTTCTCCACCCTTTCTAAAGGGTTTGCTATGGGCAGGGAATGCAAAAACAGGAAGACTAGAATATAAAACAAGTCATTCCAGTTTCTTGTTCTTCACCACCATTCTTTGGCACTAAGTTTAAGCAGTCTTTCAAAATGCTCTTGGAAAAGCAGACGCTAAGGTGGGTTAAACAAGTGCCAACAACGCTCACACCTCACACCAGCATCAGGGAGCCCCAGCTGCCTGACCTCCTATGCAGCTCCCAGCTCACGCGCCTTGGAACAAACAGCGCAAGAGGCCCAGTGGCCATTGAGTGTTACTGCATTAACACTAGGACACACAGAGAGGCATTTTCTATCACTTCAAATTCTATCGCCTCATTCACCCAAGAAGACTCTCAGGTCAGACCCACATGTATTTGGAATTTAGAATCATTTCTGCTTATTATAGATTAAACTAGGCTTTCGGATATTTTTCCAAATAGCATTGCAGGGCTACATTCACTCAGCAATATTCTTTGAGGTACATACTTATATGATTGCTTTTCAATTTTAAAAAATTCTGATGCTCACTAACAGCTGACACTTCCACCTCACAAATGCATTTTCACTAGATACACTTCCAGGATACTGAATTATGTTTCTGAACAAATGGGACCATGTTGAGTCAATTCCCACTCACTTCATTTTTAGATATAATATCTATTCATTTCCTCAGCAAATAATTAATAGCCACCTATTAAATGCTAGGCACTGTTCTTGGCTTATTATTTCAAACAATGTATCTTATTATCTAAATATGCAAACTCTGAAACAAAAATATTTAAGGAATTAGCTAGGATATATCAGTGATGCTGATGAAGCTAGGCCAAGATAACTGAACACTCTTACTGAACATGCTTCCCGCTAAGCACAGTTCACACATTTAACCCACAAAGGGTCTGGATCTTTCACTGACAAATTCACTAATCTATCTGGACGCTCAGGTAACATAATTGTAACAGACTCACAGTCACTTTTTCTGAATCCACAAGGACAGATGAAATAACATTGTACATAAGCATGCTAAAGTATGAAACTTGGAATTAGGAATCAGAATAAACGTAACATGTCTATTAACAAGGTTACGCTACTGCTGAGGATTTGGTACTGTAACAGTTAGGGCCTATCATTCCTCAAGCACATTAACAGCATTACACAAAAGTCTCCACTTTTTTAGAACTAATTTATTAAGAATATAACTATGCCAATGTGTGTCCTACATACATATTTCATATACATACATGTTACATGCATACACAGGTATTCCCATCAATCTTTGCACTCCAATAACTGACACTCTGTCCTGTGCTAACAAATGACAACTCCACACACCCTCAACGCTAAAGCCCATTCCCTTAACTCCAAGCTGCTCGTTCTCGACCCGTATTCTGGAAGGTTGTGCTGGTGGCTCATTTGAACCCCATTCTCTCCATGAAAATTACACAGTGTGAATTTATACACTATAATCTACCCTCACACACCATGTACTTCTCTCCTCAGTCCTGACTTCCCTGCTAGCTCCTCACGGCCAGAGCCAAGACCTAAATATGGTTATCTACATTCACCTCACAACATGTTTATAAATGAGGAAGATAGTCCAAGAAAAATCTCTTCAAAGTCTATATAGAAATTAACATAAACAAATATATCTTACAAGAAAATGTCACAAAAATTAACAATTAAAATGTAAAGCAGGGCCTGGCGTGGTAGCCTAACGGCTAAAGTCCTCGCCTTGAACACGCCAGGACCCCATATGGGTGTCAGTTCTAATCCCAGTGGCCCCACTTCCCTTCCAGCTCCCTGTTTATGGCCTGGGAAAGCAGTCAAGCAGTCGAGGACGGCCCATGACCTTGGAACCCTGCACCCACATGGGAGACCTGGAAGAAGTTTCTGGCTCCTGGCTTCGAATTGGCTCAGCTCTGACTGTTGTGGTCACTTGGGGAATGAATCATCAGAGAGAAGATCTTTCTCTCTCTCATATCCTCTCTGTATATCTGACGTTGCAATAAAAAAAAGTATCTTTTTAAAATGTAAAGCATTTGGAACTATAAGCGAGAGTTTAATAGAAGACTCTAAAGAGCTTGGAACTGTTGCTTTGTACCCAGAAAGAGCTCAATAAATGATAGCTTAAAAAGATGAAGCTACTCCTTGGTTTCAAAAAAGTTCAACTCTAGAAAGAATTGAATAAAAAAAAAGAAAGTTATAATCTGTTTAAATGGCTTCTTCAGTCTCAAAAAATCTGATATCTAATTACTTTCATAAAATTATCCAATCATAGGGCCTGGCGTGACAGCCTAGTAGCTAAAGTCCTCCCAGGATTCCATAGAGGTGACAGCTCATTTCCTGGACGCTCCACTTTCCATCCAGCTCCCTGCTGTGGCCTGGGAAAGCAGTCGAGGACAGCCCAAAATCTTGGGACCCTGCACCTGTGTGGGAAACATGGAAGAAGCTCCTTGCTCCTTGCCTCGGACTGGCTCAGTTCTGAATCTCAGGTACCTGCGGTTTATAAGGAGTCAATCTGATAGCTACACAGAAAATTTAACTTAGCAGGAAGAGTAAAAAGGCCACAATGCAACACCAACAAAATTATAATGTAAATCACACAGCAGAACGCTATGAGTACCTAGAAAATATTTCTTACAGTTGACATGCTAGATATTATGAAAGAAGGAAGTACCTGATCTCTAGACTCAAGACACTTATATTTTAGTAGAAGTAATAGAAGTAACAATTTATAAAAAATTCTAGGGTGTTTTTAACATACTTTTCCAAAGTAATTCTTAATCTTGCACTTAATCTATATTCATAAAAAATCTCTTAAATACTAATAGGTATTGATATTAACTAGCAAGCTATTATCAAAACAAAGTACTTAAGTACATTTCTAACTCAGCATTAGTGATGCCGCTCAAGTTGACTAAACTGCTGTATTCTGGGCAAGCACCATGGCACAGCAGGCTAAGTCTCTGCCTGTGGCACTGACACCGCACACAGGCACTGCGTTCGGGTAGCAGCTCCACTTCTGGTACTGCAGACAAGCCTCTGTAAGATCTCCCCCGTCTGTGCTCTCTGTGCCCCTGCCTTTCAATTGAAATCAATAATGGAAAAATAAAAGCATTTAAAAATTATTTTGTTCTATAAAATTACTTTAGTCTGCAAAAATATTAACTGGGAAAACAAGAATCAAACCCATGCAATAATTACATGTCTCACTTATGCACTCTCAAGTTTTTCCTGAATTAATACTGGATCATAAAAGGACCTATGTAAAGGAAAAGGAGGGGTTAAGAAAAGAAAATAAATACTAGAAACCTAACTAGACTCTTGGAAGCTTCTTAACATGAGGCTAAGATTTAATTATTGTGCTTAAGACAAAAATAATTTAGAAGAAAATCTCATTAAGTTACACTGTCACTCTAACCCAAGTGAGTCACTTTCTCTTCTTTGCTGCTTTCTTCTTCTTTTCTTTCACATGCCTAACATTTTAAACCCTCCAGTACTGGCTAGCTGCCTTTCTACAAAATTGCTTGGAGACTTGATCATTTATTTTAGTGGGACTAGGGTATCTAGCAAGTTAGAGACAAAGATGAATGAAGAAGAAAGTGTATCATAAATTAAAATGCAGCACTGAAGCACTCAGCCTTTGACCAATGCATTGATTATCATTTTATAAATCAGTAAAATACTGATCACTTAAAGTACCATAAAAGCATACTCCCCAGCACACCCCTACATAGTTTGCTCCGCACAGAAGAAACAGGACCAGCTCTTTCCCCACAGTACCTCAAGAGGGAAATCCTTTATGCTGACATCTACAAAAGATTGGCAGTAATGAGGATCCATGTAAATCAAACTGTCATCTACAAGGACAAAACAGAAGACAAGTAATTCAAAAAACACCTTATTATTACACCGCTTACAATCCAATTTCTATGTAGAACAGCTGAAAAAAAAATCAAGCCATAACAGCTTGCCAGACTGATACTCATTGACTGAAACATAGGTTTGCACAGGATACATTAACTTTTGCATAATCAAATATGCTTGTATAAGCAGAATTTTTATAAAGTGATGAGACTGTCATTTAATTTTTGGTGATAAAATTACTTTCACAAACACACAATTATATTCTACAGTTTGCATATGAAAAATGTATTGCCTTTCTTTATCCTGACAGGAAGAACATATTGCTTGTCATTTTATCATCAACTAACACCACTAAAACTGGTAAAAAGTAAATATGTAAATAGCAACTGCCACAATGTGGCAGAATGTCTTCTGAAGTTTAGTGAAACCAATAAATTATGCCTTGTTTATGCAACAACAGAAATTAAACATACATTTTACAGAATCCAATTATGTGTGGACCAAATGACAGATGACTGCCGGCGGTAAGACTGATGAATGTATAAGGTGCTCATTTTACTCTGCTAATCAGCCATCCTGTGTCAGGGTGATCTTATATTAACTTCCTGACTTTTAAAAGAAAACAATTAAGAGATATATTTCACTGAATCACTAACCTTGAAATCCAGCAAAGTAATATGACTGCTTGGGTTTGCCACCAATAATACCCACACAATATTCAAGGCTTAAAATACCCTGTCAAAAAAAATAATAAGACATATTCAGAATCCAAAGACAAATGGTAATTATCTAAGATAATCAAATCTGTATTATGTAACATTGTTAGTAGTTCCTAAATTTCTCATTGTACAGCATTATTTTTTTATCTCATGCCATGTTCTGAAATTCTTCAAACCCACTTCACTTTCTTCAAATCATTCAACACTATTACACTTAATCAAATACTCTGACCAGCATGCTTAATAACATTCCATAATTACTATTTGCCAGATAGAGATAATTAACGTACCACACAAGGCAACAAGATTCCTGTCAAAATGGGAATGTGTGACCTTTCAAATTACCTCAGTCTTAGTGTGACCAATGTAACGTTTTCATCAAATTTCTGAAACAGCAACAATTCTTAGACCTTACTACTCATTCTCACTGAGACATGAGTTTTAGAATTCCAAACTAAAAACCATTTTTATAATCAACAATACTTATCAGATAAACTTTATACAACCTCATTCAGAATAAATATGAAGAATAATGGAAACAATTTAATCCTAGGAAAATGATAATTCTATTGTATCTAAAGCCAACTTAATTTATTGATCATAAAATACAAAAGCTACCCTAATAAATTATTTAGACCATCCATCAGCATCCATTCTAAGGAAACTGTATTTAAGTTATATAATTCTTTACATTACAAAAAAAAATCTAGTGGGATCAATTAATATTTTATAAACGGTTCCTGCATTAATTTTGACATTTTATAAACACTAATGACAAAAACATACAAACTTCCCATCTCTTAAATGAGAGGATGTTTTAAAATTTAAAATATAAAACAATGAAGAATACAGATGAACCCCAACTTACAATGATTCAACTTCCTTTTTCTAACACAATGGTAAGAAACTGTATTTCATTTTACATTTTGCCGCTTTGTCCAGGCCACCAATGGACAGCATGGTACCCTCCTGTGGCGCTGCAGTGTAGCAGTACACACAGCCCCAGACAACCAGGGGATCAGGAAAGCAGAAGCCAGCACCTTTCAGGGCCGTGTGCTGCTGGGCTACAGTGCCCGGCAGGTCAGACACAGCTACTGCACTGCAGTTTATGATATTTTCAATTCATGATGGGCTAATGAGGATGTAATCCGATTGTAATTTGAAGAAATGTACGTATGTGGAGTATATGGACAAATATTTCTCTGAATATATAATGAAACTGTAAAAGATCTTTTCATTAAGAAAAAAAAAGCAATCCTGTTTTCTTAAAAATAATGTGATCATAGTACAAAATTAAAAAGTAAAAACTTCCCAAAATTCCAATACTCAGAACTCACTAATCAATAACAATTCCTTAACATTCTTTTATATCACATACCTTCACATCTAGATTTACAAATATTACATATTTAGCATCATACAACATATGCAATCTTAACAACCATCACTTAAAGTGTCAGAAATATCTTTTCATTTCAGTATAGGTCTATATTCTCTTCATAATATCTAACAGATACAAAATATTCCAGCTTACGACAACAACAAAATTTGCTTTAAGATTTCCATTATGAATCTTTAAGGTTCTCACTGCAATAAATAACCCTCTGCCATGGTGTGAAATGTTTTCTCCCTTCCAAAAGTCATGTGTTGGAAACCTAATCCCCAAAGCAACGGTGTGGAGAAGTGAGGAACTTCGGGAGGCGTTTATGTCGGGAGGGCATGCGTGGATTAGCACTGTTACCAAGTAACAGTGGGGGCCAAGGAAGAGAGTTTGGGCTCCCGGTTCTTCTGACATGCAAGGACACGCCTTAGCAAGGCCCTCGTCGGAAGCCAGGACCTTGAAGTGGACTTTCCAGCTTCCACTGTCAGGGAAGACATTTTTGTTCCTTATAAATTATCCAGTCTTAAATATTCTGTTATGCTAGCATTAAAGGGAATAAAACATCCTTCAGAGAACAATCTTTCAAATTTTGTCTTATAAAAATATCAGAGATTTTCCTGAAAAGGAAGCTACAACTGAAAGAAATAAGAGAAAGCATATTAGATTGAAATCTTAGATAACTAAGAAATAAATTAAGATGAAATTAATTTTTTAGGAATACAGGAGCTAGTATGATGACACAGTGGTTTAAGCCGCTGCCTGTGACAGCCACGTCCCCAATCAGTGCTGGTTCGAGTTCTGTTGCTCCACTTTGGATACAGCTCCCTGCCAAGGCACCTGCCAAGGCACCTGCCAAGGCACCTGCCAAGGCAGTGGAAGACAGCCCATGGACTTGACTGCCTGTGAAACCCAGAGTCCCCTTCAGTTTGGCCCAGCCCCAACCATTGCAGCCATGTGGGAAGTGAACCAGAAAACAGAAAATCTTTACCTTCTAACTGTACCTTTCAAATAAATAAACCTTTTAAAAATTACAAGTACACAAAAAATTAAATAACACTAGATAATAAGTTTTATTTCTTTTTTTAATCTACTTACTAGTAATGCAAGGGTGGGCACCTGGCACAGACTCATGATGCCGCTTGGGATCCACAACCCCCATGAGAGTCCCTCGGTTCCAGTCTCGCTGCCACTTCTGATCTAGCTTCCTGTTGACGGACCCACTGAGAAGCAGATGCTTAAGTATTTGGGTCCCTACCATTCACATAGGAGACTCCAAGTGCATTCTGGGCTCCTGGGTAGAGCCCAGGCCCTGAAGTGTGCACTGGAGTAAACCAAGGAAGAGTTCAATGTCTGCCTCTGTTTCTCTGCCTTACAAATAAAATAAAAAATAAATGCCAACTGTTTAAACATTTATGTATTTTTATTTGAAAGGCAATGTTTTTCAGATTTATTTATTTTTATTGGAAAGGTAGGTTTACAGAGACAGAAAGACCTTCCGTCCACTGATTAATTCCCCAAGTGGCCACAACGGACAAAGCTGAGCTGATCTAAAGCCAATCTGAAGCCAGAAGCTTCTTCCAGGTCTCTCAGGTGAATGCAAGATCCCAACGCTATGGGTCATCTTCCACTGCCTTCCCAGGCCACAGCAGGGAGCTGCATGTGAAATGGAGTAGCCAGGACATCAACTGGTGTCCATAGGGTATCCTAGTGCATACAAGGTAAGGACTTTAGCCACTAGGCTACTGTGTCAGACCCTGAAAAGCAGATTTTTACAGAGAAAAGACAAAGAATTCTTTCATCTGTTAGTTCACTTCCCAAATGGCTGCCATGGCCAGAGCTGAGCTGATTGGAAGCTGGGAGCCAGGAGCTTCTTCCCCAGGATGCCATTCGTGTGCAGAATCCCAAGGACTTGAGCCATCCTCTGACGCTTTTCCAGGCCATAAGCAGAAAGCTGCTTTGGAAGTGGCACTGCTGGGACATGAGCCAACATCCATATGGAATGCCAGTATTCGCAAGCAAAGAATTAACTTGGTATGCCACCATGCCAGCCCCATAAATGTCACATTTTAGAAATAGTAATAATTACTTAACATTAACATTAAACATTCGATTGCTATTCTCTAATAAAACGCCTATGCAACTAAAAAGTACCTTACTTTAATTTGTGGTAATTTGGTTAGCTGAAATACAATGTTTATCTCATGATGTGAGATCTTTCTCTCACAGCTAAAGATAAAGAGCCAAAAAAAGAAAACAAAATACAGATAGCCAGAATCAGCACTGACCATCCAGGTAACAGAAAGATGACTCCGGTCCCTGACATCTGTTTCTTCGCAGCTGACTAGGACAGATCCAGCAGCAAACATTCAGGAGCAGCTCAGAAGCTAGCAGGTCATCACACATAAAACGGGTGCACCTTTGGAAACCTCAATCACGTTTTAGTTTCTAAAAGAGCTTCTTTAGTTATCTAGTGGTCAAAATTTATCAAGCTATATCTAGGAAGCAATAAGTAAGAGTGATGCAATCAGACAAAAACCAAAGTCTTCATTTGCCCTGCTGAACAAATAGAACATACTGGACTTTCCTCATTTCAGTCCCTTAAAAAAAAATAAGCAAACCTCTTAGGTAAGAGTTGATACAGCATATGCCAAATTTCTTTCTCATCAAATAATATAACAAAATGCTAGGATGGTACCATCCTACACATACTGTAGACTTACTTAAATTAATTCATTTGAAGAGCCTGGTACAATAGTTCAACTGACTAATCCTCCACCTCCAAGTGCCAGGATCCAAAACGGGAGCTGATTCGTGCTCCAGCTGCTCCACTTCCCATCCAGTTTCCTGCTTATGGCCTGGGAAAGTAGTCGAGGACCGCCCAAAGTCTTAGGACCCTGCACCCGCATGGAAAACCTGGAAGAGGCTCCCAGCTTTGGATTGGAGCAGCTCCAGCCATTGCAGCCACTTGGCAAGTGAACCAGATCTTTCTCTCTATAAATCTGCCTTTCAAATAAAAATAAATAAATATGTCACAAAAAATATACTTGAAGACAATTGAGCTAAATGTTGAGATGTCGAATTTAAGAGTTCTATGTATATTGGTTTGGCAGGAAAAAATACAACCACTAAACACACACATAAAAAAAAGAAAATTATTTTTCTGTTCAGGCTATCAGACATACTGCTTTTTCATTTCTAAGTTATCGTCCATATTGGTTTTGACTTACTTTCGGGCAAGCATCATACCAATCATATAAACTACTTCACTCAACTATTTCAGCCATTGTACATGATAACTGGAAATTTAAAATATCTCAGTAATTCCCATTCTAACTAACCAAGTTAGCAGATACTCAAAGAAATGTTACACATTAGGGCCCGGCACGGTGGCCTAGTGACTAAAGTCCTCACTTTGAATGGGCTGGGATCCCATATGGGCACCGGTTCTAATCCCAGCAGCTCTGCTTCCCATCCAGCTCCCTGCTTGTGGCCTGGGAAAGCAGGCAAGAACGGCCCAAAGCCCTGGGACCCTGTACCTGCATGGGAGACCTGACTCCTGGCTTCGGATTGGCATAGCACCAGCTGTTGCGCTCACTTGGGCAGTGAATCATTGGATGGAAGATCTTCCTCTCTGTCTCTCCTCCTCTCTGTATATCTGACTTTGTAATGAAAATAAAATAAATCTTAAAAAAAATGTTATACATTAAAAAAAAATTATAAGGGAAAAAAATTTATTATAAGGAAAAACATGAGAAACAATGAACCAAAAAAGTTCCAGTCTTTGTACCTTTGTTATTTGAACTTGAACTCATCACTTAACTTCTCCACATCATTTACATTTTTACACATAATCAAATCCCAATCAAAGGCAAAATAAGATAAAGTAGATTTATCTTTCCAAAATGTCATCTTCATTTTTCAGCTGGCTCTAGAATGTGAACCTAAGATGTCTTCTTTTTTCAGTTGCAGCTTTCCTTTTTAACAAACCTCTATGACATTTTCACATAACTGAATATACAAGGTTGCTCTAGAGAGAGCATTTTAAGTCCATTTTGTGCTACTATAACAGATACCTGAGATTGGGTAATAAATAAGGAACAGAAATTTATTCTCACACAGTCCTGGAGGCTGGCAAGTCCAATCAATTTATTTAAATGAGGTAGAGAGTGTTACACAAATGAGTATTAACAAATACTTATTGCATAGCTCCTGAATCCTAGGCACTATGGATCACTTTAACCACTTAATCATGGTTTGTTTCACCACCGTTCAGGCTCCAATGAATCACTCAAGAGCATTAGGCAGTGCAGCCATCTGATGAATACTAATAACAGCACTGGAGAGCTAAGCCCTCCAGCAGGTGAAACACGCCTGCAGCCCAGCTGAAACCCATGTCACCAAGAAAGGGTTTTGGCTAAAGAAGTCTGCCCCAAGATTACTTCAACTTCTGATCTTCCCATTCCAACAGAGAATGGCAGGAAGAATATAGTACAAATTTGTTCAGAACCCACTCAGAGACGACAACATGCCACAAATTATAGAAACCCTCAACAGACCTGCTAGATGAAATGGCTCACAACTTCTCACATTCCACCAACAGCTCAAACAGCCCACTTGTCAGACATCAAAACCACACCCTAATTTGCTGAATTCAGATTATCATTATATTATAGTATCTACTACTGGTAACTATTTACTATTTGGTTCCTTCAAAATTTTAATAACTTCAGTAAAGCCAGCACACCAGTTAGAAATGTATCATGCCAAAAACACCTGTTCTGAATTTTTACAATCAGCAAAACCCAACCTGAGGATACATTTGACCTATATATATGGGGATCTATAATAAGGGATTAATGCTTCAGGTGGGAGAATAAATTATTACTGAGTCATAAAAGACAAACTTAGACTTTATTTCACCATTACTATACCCTATAATGCTTGACTCAAAAAAGAATTCCAATCTGGCCTTGAAAACAGAATACTAAAACCTAGGAATTTTGTTTAGAACTATGAAAATAATATATAAAAGCTATAATCATCAGAAACAAAGTATTTCAAAAATTATTTCATCATAACTGAATGTCTTGGTACCCAAAACAACAAAAGAAACAGAACTATGCATTTTGAAAAACAACAGATTTTAGCCTGGTTAATATGAAGAAAACAAATTTAGAAACCTCAAACTATCATAATTATCTTGGTCTATATAAATAATCTTACCTCTAACTGACCACACGATGGTGCCAATCAACAAAATATAAACTAATACAGTACTATTAGAAAAGTCCATTTGTTCTAATAATTAATTTTATGTTAGTTTTGTAAATAAACAAAAGTACATGCTTTTAGAAATCACAAAAAAAATTGAACTGTAGCCCTATTATACATGATTATTATTGCACTTGTACCCTTTTGATCAACTGCAAAAGTTACTAGCTTTTTTAATTTGGTATAGGACCAACTTACAACTAATCTTGAAATTTAAGATCTTTACAATGTCTAACTTTACATTGGGCAACATACAACTACCTTATTTTAACAGAAAAACAACTGCAAACTGAACTTTTTCACATCATTTTGTATTGCCCTTAAATACTGAGCACTTCTTTCATACCTTTACGAACTCTAAGTAGTCAGTGTTGGTTCTTTCTCCACCAAGTCTAACAGGAACGAGAATAATAACGGCTTTCTCATCTGTATTACCAGAGGTCATGGAAGCATTCTGTTTGTCAATTACATCAGAACTATAAACTGAGAAAAACAGGATGAATGTTAAATAGTATAAAAATGATTCTCAGAAACATTTTCACACTCAGTACTTTACTCCCACAAGTCCAGCACTAGCCAGTCATCTGACCTCCAATATCAATGCCAAGGTCTCAAGGTCTCTTTGGCATTGATGCCAAAGAACCATCTCATTTATGTACTGAACAGATACTTATTGAGTAGCCACTGTGCAGTGCTGGGGATTCATCAGTAGACAAAAAAAACAGCACTGCTGCCTCTCAGAATATACATCCTAATGAGGGAGAAACAGACAAATATAAAATAGGTGTATCCAATGGTGACAGGTACTTTGACGAGAACAACAATAAAAAAAGATTGACAGGATCAATTTCAAATTTAGAAATGTCTTTATGAGAAAGTAATTTTGAATCAAAATTTTTAAAAAGTAAGAAAGTAAGTAATGCAGATACCAAAGGAAGCATATTCCACGTAGAAAGATCAGCAAGAGTAACTGCCTCAAGGCAGAAACATAGCTAGCAGGTTTGAGAAAGAAGAGCCCACAAAAATAAGTGTGGGGTACAGAAATAAGAAATGAGCCTGGGAGAAGAGAATGAAGACAGGTTATGTGAACAATCCGAAGTCACCAGATAGCTTCAGGTTTTGAGTGCAATGGTAAGTCAATGAAGAAGTTTGTGTTTTGTTTTGTAGCAAAGAAATGTCTTAAGCTAATGTGAACAGTCTAGTTCCTGTACTGATAACACACTTCAGGAGCAAGGTCTGAGGTATGGAGACGAGTTAGAAAGACATTGCAATTATCCAAGAAGAGCTGATGGTGGCTTGAAAGTTATTATAGAAACAGAAAATGGTCATAGGACAGTCTTGAGAAGGTGGTGAAAGTGATGAGGTCACGTACCTGAAGATAAAGTAAGGATTGTCACATGCAAAACCTACGTGAGGCAGGCATCCTGGCAAGTCAGGTTAAGCCATGGCTTAGGGTGCCCACATGTTCTGAACTGGACTGCCCACTTGAATCCCAGTTGCTTCACTTCCAAGCCAGCTCCCTACTAACACACATGGGAAGTAGATGACAATGCGGGTACTTGAGCTACTGCCCCCCATGAGATAGAGCTGGATGGAGAACCGGGCTCTTGGCTTCCGTCTGGCCCAGCCCCAGCAGTTGCACACACATGCTCTAGCACTCTTTCCCTCTCTTTCTCACTTTTCCACTCAAGTAAACATACAAATCTTTTTTAATGTGTTATTTGAGCAGAAAAAAAAAAAGAAAGAGTTACAGGTGAGTAACAAGGCTTTGGTCTAAGCAAACTGAGTTACCATTTAAATGACAGGGAAAACTGAGGTGAAGGAAATACAGAAGAGAGGACTGGGAATTTAGTTTTAGACATGGTAAGTTCAAGACACTCAGCACGTGAGTAGAGGCTAAGTGGGCTTCTGCAGAAGTAAATGGCTGGAATTTGGCAAGAGGATCAAGATAGAACTATGCATTTTGTGTTGCCAGGACTTGGAAAGTATTAGAAAGCTGTGAGCACTAAAACCACTAATACTTCTAAAGAGCAAGGAGATGAGGGACCAAGAAAGTAGACTGAACAAGTAGATGAGGAAGCAGAAGCAAAACGAGAAGAGTTCTGGAAAGCAAGTAAACAAAATGTTACCAGGAGAAAGAAGAAGTGGACAACTGACCAGTGAGCGATGTGGGACTGAAATGCGAGCACTGGGTTTAGCAAGTTCAAATTTTTGATAAGAGCAGTTGCTTTTTTATAAGAGAGTTGCAGGTATGACAGCCCAAGCGGACAGTTAAAGAGAATACAATTTGGTAGAAACAAATACAGGCCAAAATTTCTATTTTGTTTTGCCCAAAATATGTTTTTATTCACAACTGAACATTCACACATTTCCTATCTAACCAAGTTTTTTTATTCCTCGAAGACATCACTAGCAAATTCTGCCAGAGGCTCCTCATGGTGATGATTCTGTCAGATTACTCTGATACCTTCCCTCTACCCCAACTACCTTAGCCATCACTGGTCCAGAGGGAGAAAGAGCTACTAACATGATGCCATCACCAAAGAATTACAAGTACTCTATTTAATAAAACAATTTCTAAAACATAGAAAGGAAAAATAAATTGATGACACCTGAAGTGAGCTCGCAAGAGTTTCTCCAAAGGAGGGACTTCTGAGCACGTACCTGAAGACTGAGTAGGAGCTACCAAGAGGCAGTCTAGTAATAAGGGGCATCCAAGAAGAGAATCTAGAGTGCGCACTTGCACAAGGACACAGCAGTGCTTAACAGCATGGCCAAGGAGTGGCCACAAGGGTGACAGCACTCTGCCAATCAGGACAAATTATGAACTTCACGGGCTTCCCATGGTCAGAGAACTTGAAATTAAACGAGTAGTCACAAGATTATGAATTAAGGAATACAATCAATCTCTTTTCATTAGAGAAAAATGCAGAGAAATTAAGTTAAAGGCAAGTTAGATATAAGGCTCCGATATGAATCAATGAGACTGAAAACATATCAGATATTTTAATATATGTATTTAAATGTCTACATACTAACAATAAGGAAAGAACGAGGGGGTTCTACCTTGAGTATGTATGTGGACGTGACAGAAAGAGAATAGTAAGAAAGGTACAATAAAAGAAAATAATGCATTTAGGGTTTTTTTTTTTAAAAAAGAATTTTACTCTAGCTGAAAATTCAGTTACAGAGAGAAAGAGGAAAATATCTTCTATCCACTGCTTTGCTCCCCAAATGGTTATACTAACCTAGAGCTGGGTCTGATGGAAGCTAAGACCCAGGAGCTTCTTCTATGTCTCCCACTTGGGTGCAGGGGCCCAAGAAGACTTAGGTTACCCCTCTGCTATTTTCCCAGGCCATAAGAGAGACGGACTGGCAAGAAAAGCAGCTGGGATATGAGCCAGGGCCAATGTGGAATGTCAGTGTCAGCAAGCAGAGATTTAGCCTATGATGCTAACACACCAGCCTCCCCCTACATTCAGCTTTTAAAATGCTGAATTTGAAGTCCTAGTATAATATCTAGATAGGGATATTTGAAGAGCAGTAGTTATGTCATAAACAAAACTATAAATGTAGAGGGGTGGTTTTTTGTTGTTGTTATTCTTTTGTTTTGTTTTGTTTTTATTGGAAAGGCAGATATACAGAGAGGAGGAGAGACAGGGAGAAAAATCTTCTGTCTGATGATTCACTCCCCAAGTGACCACAATGGCTGTTCTGCTACGATTCCAGGCCAGGAGCCAGGAACTTCCTCCAGGTCTCCTACACAAGTGCAGAGTCCCAAGGTTTTGGGCTGTCCTCGACTGTTTTTCTAGGCCACAAGCAGGGAGCTGGATGGGAACTGGAGCTGCCAGGATTAGAACTGGTGCCCAAATGGGATCCCAGCACATTCAAGGTGAGGACTTTAGCCACTAGGCCACTGTGCCAGGCCCGAAATGTAATTTTAAAAATCTTAGTGTAAGAGGCATTTAGCACATTGATCATCAATCAGAAAACACAAAACAAACAAAGGTAAAAATCTGAACCTTAAGGACAGACATTTAGACCAACAGCTAAGATGCCAACATCCCAGTCCTGGCATTATAGCACAATGGATAGAACTGCGGGCCAGTTCAAGTCCCAGCTTCTCCACTTCTGTTCCAGCTTCCTGCTAACAGCCTGGGAAAAACAGCAGAGGATGGCCCAAGTGCTTGGGCCCTGTCACTCAGGTGAGAGACCTAGAAGAAACTCATAATTCCCAGCTTCAGCCTCACCCAGTTCTGGTTCTTGTAGCCATCTAGGGAGTGAACCTATAGATGGAACATTCCTCTCTTCTGTTACTTTCTCTTTTTCCCCTCCTCTCTCTCTCTAACTCTGACCTAGAAACGATAAATAAATCTTAAGAACAAAATTCATATCCCCTACAGGAGAAACTGGATTCAATTACCAGCTCTAGTTCTTGACTTCTGCTTTCAATTGATGCAGCTCCTGGATGGAAGCTGTGTGTGATGGACCAAGTAAATGGCTTGCTGTAACCCACATGGGAACCCAGCTTCTGCTCCAGCCCAGCCTTGGCTAGCCGCAAGCATTTGAGAAATGAACCAGCAGATGAAAACTTTCTCTCTCTCTCTCTATCTTTCAGGAGCTCTTTTCTGTTGGCTCTCTGCCTCTCATTTTTTTTTAATGTTTAAACTTGAACAACAGCTGAATCATTATGTATTAAATACTGAAGAACATACTCAGTTTTCGTAAGATAAATCAAAAATTATTTTTCCTTGAAACATACCCACCAATAAGATGGTAGCTGATACACGTTACCCAAGTGTATGCCTACGTTCAATTTTCTCACATCTTTCAAGTGCTTATTTTAAAACATCAAATTTTCTTTAAGGGATTATTTTAACATTATATTTAATAACTCAGAGAATATATTCAATCAAAACATTTTCTTTAAGTGCCTCCTACATAAAGGGTGTTACCTAGGATTATAAAGTGAGATCCCTACGATCATAATCATTTACAGCATAAACGGGAGGACAAACTAAACACATGAAAAGTTTAATCAAATAAACAGGTAAGAATTAGTATTACATACATTCCTTACCTGTACAATCCTGTGCAACATAAACAGTTATTCCTTGTAAATCAGGGTGTCTTGCTTCTTCAACTGCTTTTCTAAGAAAACAGCAAGTATCATCCTTTAATCTTAGTGGGCAACTAAGGGTGTCATTTATGAGAAAAATCAATCATCATTTTCCTGACTTCCCTAACTAACCTATAGTATCTTCTGAAAAAACTACCATCTATAAGATTTTAGAAATTAGATTTAATTTTTCAAAGTCAAATATTACACTAAGGTACCAAAAGAACACTAAAACTAAATTATATGTGAAAAAAGCTTGAGTATAAAGACATACTCCCCCTCCCACCAAAAAACATGAATTTTTCCTAATCAATCAACTGGACATATTAAACATTTTCATAATCATGCTTCAAGATCTGCTTCACATCTATTTCTATTATCGATCAGAAGTAAATTACTATGTTTGATCTCTGGCACCTTGATCGGTTTTAGTTTTCTTCAAACAGCAACATGATTTGCTTCTCTTCATTCAACAACTAATATGATCTGAGTATATTCAGATGCTGAGATATTCCCAATGTCAAGTCTAGGAACACTAAGTACAACTGCAAACTGAAAAATTCTTGGCGAGTTTAATATTTTCAATAGTACACAGGAAGTAAAAAAAAAAAAAATCATGACAGAATTTGTAAAATAAAAATGCAAATTGGGGAAATTCAAATTTGTATTTCACTGTGTCTTTATAATTCTTAATTTAAAATAAATCTATTATGAATGTTCCTATGTCAATATAAAAAAGAGACTGACAAGTCTATAAACAGTTTTTGTGCAGCCTGCAAGGTAAAAATGTTTCTGACAGTTTCATAGGCTTGAAGGAGGAAAAAAAAGAAAAAAAATAAGCAACATAAATCTTATATGGCCTGAAAGCTACAATATTTACTATTTGCATTTTACAAAAAAAAAAATCTGGAATGATTGAAGCTGTGCCTTAAAAGTTATGTTTTTATAAATGTCACAACAAGCTGGAATTGTCACTGCTATTAATAATTCTAGTAATAACACTAAGCAAGTATTTCTCAACTGTAAGCATCTGATCTATAACACATTGAGCACATTAAAACAGAAAAGTACTTTGTAATAATTTCAAACTTAAAGACTTTTACAAACGAAGTAAATTCACTACAACATGTTGTGATTATCTGGCCTATTAAATATTCAGCTTATAATACTGAGACACACAAGAAATAAGACTTAAAAGACTTTTTAAGTCTTAATATCCAAACAAATGCCATGAAAAAGTGAAAAGATATAGTGAAATTAAATGTTTCACTTTTTCTTACCACCCAGAATGTCAAAGACCCTGTATTTTTTCAGTGATTATAACGATCCCATTCATTTACAATTCACAAGAATCTGATGTATGCAAGTGCCTAAAACACTGATTTTAGCCCTTGACTCTTTATCATATTATTAATACAGTATAGCCCCATGTTACACTATTAAAGAAAAAAAACTGGTATTGCATATTCAAAGGTGGAAAGAGACACTACTTCTTTTCAGAATATATCCATAAGTTATTCTAATGAAACACTGGGTATCTGCCTAAAGAGCAAGAGAAGAAAAACTGATCAGTAGATAAATTAACTGTAACTAGTGTTACAGAATACAACCCATGTTTCCCCCACTAGAAAAGCTGCTTTATGGACATTCTCACATAGTTATACTTTTGAAGTCCCAATTATATATAGGCATTACAAAAATTAGGTAACTCGGACCTTGAAGACCTCTGTAAAAACATAAGAATTTTAAAACAATTGTACCTTAATATGTGAGCAACTACAGCTGGTCCGTACCAATCTCCAGCCTTTTTCCCAGACTTCTTTCCGTATTCTATTAGCTGATGTAAGCCAAAGGCTGCCAGTGGAGAGTCACCAAACCAAGAGATAATTTTCCTATGACAAATTTCATTCTCTATTTCGTGATCATCAGAATACTTCCCAATTGTTTCCTTCAGAGAAATTGTTGGAGGAGTTTTGACTTCTCTTTCCCCTGAAAGCGACGCTTCAAATGACGCAGTAAATTTTTTTACGGTATGAGAAGTCCACGATTCAGTGTCTGAATTTTCAATGTTCAAAGCATCAGGCCAGGTCCAAGCTATAGTAGTTCCAAAGCAAAGTGTTCAGATCTTTAACTAGTTAGACTTCAACAATCAGCTAAGATACGTCAGTAGCATTTACAGTTACATGGACTAAACTAAAATAGTAAACTCAGGAATAGGTAAATACACAAACAGAAAATAGATGAATGGCTACCTAAGAACTGGGATATCTACTAATGTACATAGGTTTCTTCAGGGAGAAAGGAAAATGTTCTAAACTAGATTGGAGCAATAGCTTCAAAACTCTAAATATTCTAAGAATCAATGAATTTTTGACTCAATGAGTGAGTGTAGGAAACATAGAATATTTCAACAAAGCTGCTTCGAGGTAGATACTTTGTCTAGATTTAAGATACCTGCACTCCTTATCAGAGTATTTGGGCTCAATTCTCACTTCTGCCTCTTGCCTCCAGCTTCCTTCTAGTTACAGCCTCTGGGAGGCAGAAATGAGGGCTCAAGTAACTGGCTTCCTGCCACTCGCGTTGGAGTTCTCAACTCCCAGCCATCAGCGGCATTTGAAGGGAGAAACAGCAGACAGGAGCAGATACATTCCAGCACTCTTCTCCGCCTCCCAAATCAATTAATCAGTTAATAATGGTTTCAAATAAGAAAGCTCCTTCAAGGTACAAACAGAAAAATACATCTCAACCAAAATAATTTTAATATCTGAGTGCTATTATTATTCTCTGCACTTTTCTATAGTTTCTAAAATTTCCAAAATGATAATATATAAAATCAGGGGAAAATACTAAAATGAAGAACAAAAGAAAAGACAGTAAACTCAGCTACATTCAGAAATTTGGTAATATGCTTTACTCTGACAGTGCTAAGATAAAGTCATTTGTATTCCATGACAAGACTACTTATCAGACATCTAATCCTGACTACCCAAAGCATGACAAAGATGTTTGCTAACAATATACAACTCATGACTAAGCATCTTTGATAAGTGGATTGTGTTTCCAGTATATGTTAGAGTAGAAATCTAACTACAGAAATTGTAATATTGTTTGGAGTACTTTCTTACACATTGAAAATAACTATACATTTTTTAAAATACCGATTCTCCAGTAAGCGAAAAGGTAACAAAATCCTGAGTGATTAAAGATTTAAAAAAACAAACATACCCATCAAATCACTTTTTCAAGTTTATATTAAGTTCTTAAAAATACATAATTTTAAGTTAACAAGTTACACATTCAAACACTATTAAAAATGATTCCAATCCTTGCCCTTGATGTGTAAAACTACAAATAAACCTAGAAATCAGTCTAAAATTCCTTTCCTTATATTATTTATACCATTCTTCAAAAAAATTCTCTCTATAATCTCTTCAGTAATTCCTACAGAAGGCTTAGCTGCCATTCATTGTGAGAATATTGTGGCAATAACTAGATATCACAGATTAAAAAACTAAAATCCTTCTACAAATATACACATTATAAAATGTGACTAATAGCAGGTGTTGCATTAGGAAGTATATGTTTGCTAAGTATTAATGAAATTTTTCAGGATTTAAAGAATTATTTAACCAACTGAATGCATATATTTATAGTCATACATATAAAGATAATTTTGGATAAGCTTTATCAATAGGTAAGGAAAGAAATAAACTATAACTCAATATTTTAAAAATATTAACTGGGTGAATACTGAATACAGCATGCCACTTGGGATACCTACATCCTGCAGCAGAATACCTGGGTTTGAAGTCTAGCTCTGCTACATATCACTGTCCTGTGATGCCCAATTTATGCTGGCTCAGGCAGATGGGTCCCTGCTACCCACCCAGGAGACCCAAGGTAAGATCTATACCTCCCACTTCAATGCAGTTGTTGCAGGCACTTGGAGAGTGACCCAGTAAACAGAAGTTCTCACTTTGTCTTTGCCTCTCTCTCGTTGTCTTTCAAATAAGATGAAAATAAATTATATATATATATATATTATATATATACTATTATACATTATATATGTATGTATTATAGTATATATAATATATCTAATGTGTAATATAATATATAAAGTATGATATTCTAATATATATGCTATAATATAATAATATATAATAGTATATATAATATATCATATGCATACATAGATATACTGTTTCACCAAAATCACAGCTGTTCATCTGCGCAGGATTCACTGAAGATAATCTAGGCTTCATCTACAAGGAAAATAATGACCTAATATCCCAAATATTGAACTAACTTATTTTCACAGTGATGATGAAAAATAAACAGGTGCATTTATACCTTATTTTTGAAAGAGTCATGAAGTCATATCTTGTTCACTTAATAAAATGTAATATGCTAGATCAGTTACAACTTCAGAAGATGTCAGAGCCTATCAAATAACACCATGGAATTTTATGCTGTACACAAGACAGGAGTTTAAACTAAACAAAAGGGATGTAATTTACCTCTACCAAGAAAGTGTAGTATAAGTCCTTGAGCCAACAGCATCTGTCCAGTTCTTAATGTACAGCCCCAGCCACAGTCAGTTGTCAAAGCTGAGCCTTCTATCTGAGGAAATTCTTCTCTGTAGGTCAACCATATTCTAGAAATGAAATCTTTACGAAATTCTTCTACATTCCCAGCAATTATGCGATCTTCTATTGTACATCCTGATATCGCAGATAACATTCTATTTTCATCTATAAATTAAAAATACAAATTATAGTCTAAAGATAAAATAGGAGTACTGATATCCAGAATATCTCACCATTTTTAAGACAGTATTGAAATATTAGATGTGACAACTTTGCTAGTCTTTCTAATGTAAAAGATAAATCCTATCCTGTCAGGGTGTAATGAAAATCAGCTGAGAATGAATGCTGAAATGTTTTAAACACTGTAGAGGTAACGAACATAACACAGTCTCAGGAATATATAATATATATATATAATCTACCATTTTGTGAAGAAACAATACAAAAATTTTATTTTACTTCACTTGGCTCAGAATATACATATCAGAAATCTCTGATACTAAAAAAATCTGATACTAAATGTGCAAATAAAAAGTATATTTGTCAATATGTTTAATCACATAAGCTAATTGTTTACATTAAAATATTACTCACATTGTAAGATCAAAACAATTACACAACATAAAATTCTTAAAATAGTTATGTTTTTCTGCTCAAATACAATTTTTAAAGATTCTTGCCAACCACTAACACCATTTTTAGAGGCTTTTCCAAATTGATCACCTCTAATACAATTTCTATGTAAAAGCTATGGCCATCATTTGCCCAATGATGTATAACATACTACTGCTCAAGTGTCTCTCCCTCCCTCCTCTTTCGAGAGGCACCCCACCTCCTGGTTTTCTCTCCAGAGGTGCTTCCCCTTCCCTCCCTTCCCTGCTCACCTGGTCCCTTTGCAAATAAACTTTTCTGTTTGAAGAAAAAAAAAACATACTACTGCTCAGAACAAACTCAGTCCTTTATTACTCTAAAGAAAGAAAGCCTTAGTCATCTTTACAAGGAAACACCAATAAATGTGGGTAAACAATACACCTGCCTACTGCTCTCAGGTCCAAGGGTTCCAATCTCACACTGTTCTACAGAATGATAACACTAACAACAAAGTTTGTATTGTACTTCTATTCTTCACCCTTCCTGCCACCATTGCTTGTAAAGCTCATTCCAAAAAAAATTATTGTAACTCCAACTTTGGATACTTGTAGACAGCTTAACGAAACTTAAGTTGTAGCATGTAATATAGATATCAGACAAATCGATTTAAGTTTCCATTAACAAGGTCTTTCTTGCAATATTATAAAGAATTTAAAGCTATCTACAAAAAAAAGAAAAGGCACCTGGGTTGGGAGCAATGGAGTGGCTCACTGGGTAAAGTTGCTGTCTGTGACACTGGCATCCCATAAGGACACCAGTTCAAGTCTCAGCTGTTCCACTCTCAATCCTGCTCCCTGTCAATGTGCCTGGAAAACCAGTGGAGGATAACCTAATTGCTGGCCCCCACACTGAAGTGGGAGACCTGGAAGAAGCTTCTGGCTCCTGGCCTTGGCCTGGCTCAGGGCCACCCAGTACAGTCATTTCAGGAACGAACCGGTGGATAAAAACACCATTCTGTGTCTCTGCCACTTTTTCTAACTTTGCTTATCAAATAAAATAAATATCAAAAAACACAGAATCTAGACTGAACATGGCACTAAAAATCAGTCCAGGTTTTTCATTTTAGACATTTAATTTTCAACTTAATACAATTATAACATAACTGACATCTCCTGTGACCTGCAAAACATATACCTCCTAATCTGCCTTAGAGAAGCACTTAATTCCTATCTTCTTAATATTAACTCTAAGCATTTTTCAGCTACTGCTAGCACTGTATGAATTTTGCTGTTTCTTTAGCCTATAGAATTACTATAATACCCCAACATTCTACTCTTCAACTGAGTATTTTGTCGTAATGTTAACTATTTATATTCTCAGTTTTTATCTACATTTTCCACCCCTCCAGACTTAAAGTGCTCCAGATGAGATAGAACGTAATTATTTTCTGCATCCTTCTATCTTCATCACCAACCTGAGTTCAGCCCATTCACATCACATATAAACAATTAACATTTTTTCAGTGAATTTAAGATCAATGGAACCAAAGAAGATAGGGTTTTTTTCCCTTGTTTGTTGTTCTGTTTGCTTTTGTTTCTTATGGTGGAGAGAAATAAGATTACAGTTTTATGGAAAATAGGGAAAGTTATAAAGAACCTCTACAAACAATGGGAAAGAAAGTTGATAACAGAAATATAACAAAACAACTAGTAATACTAAGGGTTTAGTCAAGGCTGATTTTCACAATCAAAAATCACTATGAAACCAGCTACTATGAGAAATAATCAAGAGCAAAAGAAATTGCAAAATAAAACCTCAAAGAATACAGCTATTGTGCATATTAGACATGGGAAAAAATGAGCTTGTATGTGTCTTTTTTTTTTAAGGGGATTATGGAAAGTTAAACAAATAATAGAAATACACCAGTTGCATACAAAATACTACCAAATGGAACTTCTAGAAGTGAAAAATAACAGAAGATAGGAGCTCAATAGAATAAGCATCAAATTACACACAATTCAAGACACACTTAGGGAATCAGAAGAAAGAAATTACTAAGAATATAGTGCAGAGACAAAGTAACAGCAAATATGAAAAAAAAATGTAAAAGACATCAAGAAGATCTAACAGATTTATGAGATACATGGGGCTGGCGTGATGGCTCAACTGTCTAATCCTTTGTCTGTGACCACCAACATCCCATATGAGCGCCAGTTTGTGCACCCACTGCTCTACTTCCAATTCAGCTCTCCGCCTATGGTCTGGGAAGGCAGTAGAGGATGAGCCAGTATGGGTCCTCATTCACCTCCCTTTCAGTCCACTACCCATCTAGCTCCCAGCAGCAAATGATGATCTAAGAGCTTGAGTCACTGCACCCACATGAGAAATCTAGACGAAGCTCCCGGCTCCTACCTTCAGACCAGACCAGCTCCAGCCATTGCGGTCACTGGTGGGTGAATCAGTGGATGAAAGAACTCTCCCACTCTCTGTCTCTGTTAATTTGACTTTCAAATAAATAAATCTTAAAAAACTATGCTCTTCAAAAAATATAATTAAATGAAAAGTCAACTAAAGGAGTAGATGAAAACATCACTCATTTATATCCAAAAAAGGGATTCAGAAAGGCAGAAGAGCTAGTCATGGAGAAAAGCACAGGTAATATAATGAAAGCATACATAAATGACAACTAAAAGCAATGAGACCAGAAGATATCCTCAAAGGGCCATTGGTTCTATCACGTCTGGAGTGCCTGTGCCCCTGCTGCAGTCGGACCCAGCTCCGCGTTTCCAGTCCTGCTGCCTGCTGTGCACGTGGGGAGGCAGCACAGTGCTTGGGTCCCTGCCACCACGTGGGAGACCAGGATGGAATTCCAAGGCTTCAGCCTGGCACAGCCTTAGCAACTGCTGAGGTCTGAGGAATGAATCATCATACAGAAACTGTCTCTGTGTCTTATTTTTCTTTCTTTCAGCCTTTCCTGTAAGATGACTTGCTAATTTCTTTTAATTAAAAAAAAAAAAGAAAACTTTAAATAATACAACTAATGAGCCATGGCACATTTGTGTAAACTAAAAATTTATAAAAAGATAAAAAGGGGGAAAAAAATGCATGAAGACAAAAGAACCAAAAACGTTCATAAAACATTTTTTTAAATAAAGACAAATACTCCAAAAGAACACCAGAATCAAACTATTCAAAATCGGTGATAAAGAGAATAGCTTAAAACCAGTTTTGTGAAAACACACTACACACAAAGAAGAGTAAGTGCTATCAGATCTTTCACTGAAAACAAAATAAAGTAACAAAATGAAGGAACATCTTTAACCTATAGAACAAAAAAATCCTTCAACCCAGAGTTCAACACATATCTAGAAAACAGCCTTTTTAATCCAGCTTCCTGGTAATGCCATCTGCGAGGCAGCAGGTGACGACAAAAATGGGAGGTTTGGATAGAATGTCGTGCTCTTGGCTCTGGCCTGACTCAACCCCTGCTATTATGGACATTTGAACTGTGAAGCAATGGATGAAAGATCTCTCCCGCCCTCTCAGGATCACACTGCCTTTAAAATAAAAACAACTTCTGGGCCCGGCACTGTAGCCTAGCAGCTAAAGTCCTCACCTTGTAAGCACCGGGATCCTATATAGGCGATGGTTCATGTCCCAGCAGCCCTGCTTCCCATCCTGCTCCCTGTTTGTAGCCTGGGAAAGCAGTCAAGGACAGCTCAAAACCTTGGGATCCTGCACCCTCATGGGAGACCCAGAAGAGGCTCCTGGCTCCAGATCGACTCAGCTACGGCTGCTGCAGCCTCTTAGGGCGTGAAACAGCGAATCAAAGATCTTCCTCTTTGTCTCTTCTCTCTGCATATCTGACTTTCCAATAAAAAGAAATAAATAAATCTTTAAAAATAATAGCAACTTATTTAAAAACCTGTATCATCAAACAGATGCACAGAAAGGATTTGATAAGGCCTGGCACAAAAGGCTAGCAGCTAAAGTCCTCGCCTTGCATGCAATGGGATCCTATATGGGTGCCGGTTATAATCCTAGCTGCCCATTTCCCATCTAGCCCCCTGCTTGTGACCTGGGAAGACAGTAGAGGACAGCTCGAAACCCTTGGGACCCTGCACCTGCATAGGAGACCCAGAAGAGACTCCTGGCTCCTAGCTTCAGATCAGCACAGCTCCATCATTGTGGTCACTTGGGGAATGAATCAGCGGATGGAAGAGCTTCCTGTCTCACCTCCTCTCTGTATATCTGGCTTTCCAATAAAAATAAAATAAATCTTTTTAAAAAAAAGTATTTGATAAAAGTCAACATTTCCCCTCTTCCCCCGCCAAGGCTATATGCAACTGCCTTGGTTATCTTGTACCTAGAAGTGTTATGCATCTGGGAGAAAAGCAGCCAAAAGCTAGCAGGCATTCTGGACACGCTTAAACACAAATTTGTGTTAACTCTACCAGTGTGACAGCAAGTTCCCTATTCTATTTTTTTTTTTAAGATATGTGGGAAAGGTGGGTCACATTGGGCCAGGATGCACCACTCCAGCACCCAAATGAGAGGGGACCCCTGATTGGCCA